GGGGAAGACCTGTCTCTAGAGTTGTACTCGCTTGTGAGTAGCAGAGCCAGTGTGAATAGTAGCAGCTCCTTAAGCATCTGGCTTTATGACTTTCGTTGCCACTGTCTTATTGGCATGTTCTCCTTCCGACAGTCAGGAAGGTGGCAGCATGGATTAGTGTCCTCATTTTGCAGGTGAGGAACCCAGGCCTGAGGTGGTGACAGTGAATGAAGACCCAGGGCTTTTTACCGTCTCATGGGCACTGCATCCCACTGAGGCCACCTTTCCTGGTACCTAACTGAGGTCTGCTCCACCCTGCTGAGGTCTGTTTTCAGGGGTAAAACTGTTGACCTCATTTAGGCCTTAGGGCTGTTCTCCTGCCGTAGGTGATTTGGTTTAATTTTTCTTAAAAGTGGAAATGGCTGTAGTAGTTAGACCTGTCTTCTTCTTGGTTAGGCTAAAAATGGTCTATCCAAGCCTCATCTGTTATAGAGTACATCTTGCTCCTTTCCTTGGACAGGAGGCACTGGCCCAGATGGAAAGGGTACTTACTGGTGCAGGCAGGAGTCTGAACGTGCTACTATCCTAAGATGGCTTACTCACTCCTGCTGGTTCTCAGTTTCCTTGTCCTGGGAGTCGGCTAGCTGACCCTCTGTAGTGTGGTTCTTTATTTATTTCGAGCTTTTAAGCTCTCTAGCTGTTATTAATGCTATTCTTGGCTCTCGGTAGCATCAACAGATTTTGCGTTAGTGCCACTGTAAAAATTTATCCTTACAATGCATGATGCCACTTGGTTGAAAAGGGAATTTTTGATATAGTAACAAGGTCATTAGAGGGATAGCAGATTCGCTCCAATTATATGGGTAGAGTTAATAATATACTTCCCACTTCAGTGATTATATTCCAAAAATTAACATCTCCATCTGTTTGAACCTTTCTTGTTTCAGACAACACGCCAACTTGGCTGGCACGCTGAGTGGCCATGCCTCATGGGTGCTGAATGTTGCGTTTTGTCCCGATGACACTCACTTTGTTTCCAGGTACTTATTATGCTTCTTAGCAGTTTCTAAAATGCCAGGAAGATGAAGATGGCCTCCCTGTATGAATTGCCTTAAAATTTGAAGATTTGTATGACCCTTTTTAAAATTTAGGTAGCCTTTGTTTCTGCAGTTTTTAAAAGTTTTATGTAAGTGGTGAAGTTAGTTGTCCTTAGCCGGAACAAAGTTGAATTCATTTGAGCAGTTAAACTCTTAGTTTTTCTTTATAAATCTAGGCGTCTACCTATAGTTAACTCTAAGGTATACCAGTGTTCCAACAGTAACTTAAAATGTGTAAATCTGTTTGTAAAATGTTGTGCTTATAGACCCAATGTTGTTCAGGCCCGGGATGGCCAAGACAGTTGAAAACCATGAGATGGACAGCTTAGAGGCATTGCACAGTGGTTCACAGAGGCCTCCTGAGAGCCTTTAGTTTGAAGCTTTACTGGCCTCCCTCCCATCTGTAAATAGGTGTCTGAGACTCCTGATGTGAGCACTTAATATAGTAAGTGATATTAAGACAGGTTAGAATTTCAGGAAGATGGCTGCCTGAGAGGAGAGAAAGCCACCCACTGCTGGCAATACCCCAGTCACCTCTGCACCCAGGGGGCCTCTGAAGATAGAAGAGTGTCAGTGAAGGACTGCGGGACTTTTGGTTAAATTCCTTCCAATCTGTCTGCAAACTGTTTCCTAATTCTATTGTTCACTTTTTTAAATAGTTCATCTGACAAAAGTGTAAAAGTTTGGGATGTTGGAACAAGGACTTGTGTTCACACCTTCTTTGATCACCAGGATCAGGTATGGCATATTAACATTTACATTTCTTTGTCTGTAGATTGCTGGCATTGTCTGACCACTGTGTCAAAACAGTTTTCTTTTCCTAACCTTGCTGCTTGAGTTGTCAAGACTGGGACTGAGTCACTCTGTGTGTTCAGATGTTCATGCACCAGTGTTCCTGTGCATAGTTTGGGGTGCAGAGGCTGGGATGTGCTGTTAGCCTAGCAACCCGTGAGGCATATCTCTGTATCAGCCAGAAAACACGGTACTAGCCACACAGTAGCAGCCTTTCAGTGCCTTGGGGTGCAGAGGCTGGGATGTGCTGTTAGCCTAGCAACCCGTGAGGCATATCTCTGTATCGGCCAGAAAACACGGTACTAGCCACACAGTAGCAGCCTTTCAGTGCCTTTTTTGGAAATTGTAGCTGCAGGTGCCTGTGGCATACCTCCAGCCCTCTTCTGAGCTCTGCCAGGCCATGGCTAGCTCAGTAAGGACCTTCCTCTTCAGGAGCTTCCATTGCTTAAACACAATCATCGCTTGTCATTTTTGGAACTGTCCAAAGAAGTGATGTGATTTTTTTTTTTTAAATATAGTAAAAGCTGGAAATTCTTAGAAGTTGTTTGGCTTTAGTGATGATGATAACTTTAGTCTTTAAAAGGAGACACTGTTCTCACAGGAGGCTTTATCTTTGCCAAGGTGAATATGAAATGGTAAAGGTGTTCTAGTGCAATATTTCTCAGTCTAATGTGCACACGAATCCCCTGGGGATGGGGTTAAAATGCAGATTCTGATTCAGTAGGTCTGGTATGGGGCCTGAGATTCTGCATTTCTAACAAGCTCCCAGGTGAGGCCAGGGCTCCTGGTCCCAACAACTCTGAGTAGCAAGGATCTTGAAAAAATAGAATGCCTGTGGCAGTATAAAGTTGGCTTATACTTTAAATGTTTTTAGGTGATCCTATGGATTTCTTCTCTTTGGAATGCAACTTAAAGTTAATTAACATAATTGTTCAAGCTTTTTTGCACTTAAATTGTTGCCAGTAAAGTTGAGGGGGTTGAATCTTGATATTCTACTCCTGGATTTAAACATTTTACTTAAGAGTAAGTCCTGGCTGGTGGTGTTGCTTGTGCGGGGGTCAGAGTAGTGCTGTTTCAGAGGAAGATGTTTGGAGTAGAAATGAGGCCATCAAGTGGCCCAATCACATTAAAATCAGGGCTAAACAACCTGTTTCAGAGTTAGGGTGACAGGTAAACACCCAGAATCACCTCCTAATAACCAGGAAGTTGTTCCTGATGTGAGAAACTCCAATCACATCAATTCTGTCTGGGAAGGAGGTGTGAATCTGTTGATTCAACACATAGCAAAATCAGTGGTCCACAGTACCACATTGTCTAGCTCCTGGGGACAGGTAGGCTCCACAGGCCTTTAATAACAGAGTGAGAATTACTGACTGCGGCGGGCTGGGGATGGGCACGGGCACAAGGAGTTAGGTGAGGAGCACCGTTTGTAATTTTCCCTGTAGGCGGTGACCTTGGGTAGTTTTCCTCCTGGAAACATGAATGTTGGTCCCTTGTGGGTTCCATCTTCGTGGCATTAGGTCACCCCCTGGACTCTGAATGTTTGAAAGGGTTGCAGGTATCTTGATTAATACTTAGAAATGAAATTTTCTGGAGTATAGGAAGGGAGGGAAATGATTAAATGGCAGTAATGGAAGATGCCTGGTTAAAGAAAAGGCTCCATTCTCACTGATTCAGAAAGTACAAGAACATGATCATCTCAGTATGTCTGGTTTTTCTAGATTCAGAATAATGAGAAAAGTAAAGATGTTCATTTTCTAAATATTCTTTATAAAGAATAAAGGCATTAGAACTTCTTTTTTTAAAAAATTTACAGGTCTGGGGAGTAAAATACAATGGAAATGGCTCAAAAATTGTGTCTGTTGGAGATGACCAGGAAATCCACATCTATGACTGTCCAATTTAAACGTCCAAGTCTTCAAGGCTAATGCTGCAAAGAGAATGTACAGACTGATCGTGACATTCCTTATCTTTTTAGGCTTGTTTCAAGAAATATAGCATTTATTGTAACAAAGACTTAAATTTTGTAGGTAGAATATAAATCTTTTTGTGTTTTATTGGAAATGCTGTTCATACTTTAACATAAATAAAGCATTCTTAATGCAAACACCCATGTTCTTGAACATTTTTTTCATGTAGCCTGTTACTGGTAGAACAGTGAGAGGAATTGGCGTTGTTAAGTGAAAGCACATGTCTGCCTCAGAGATGAGGAGATCCAGGCACTTGCTGAACTTCCCAGCTTAGAAATACGGGCCGCCTCTTCCAGGGGATTGACTCATGCAGTGAGATGCAGCAGGGAGCTCCCAGAAGCCATGATGGAGGAGCTAATCTATTTATTTCAGAATGAGGTTCTGAAGGAAGCAGGGTATTTGACTGTGTGGGAACATTCTGCGGTCCTACCTAGCATGGCATCCTTCTGTTTGGTACATTAAAAATGTCCCCTGCTACACCCTCCTTTTTACCTTAATAATTTCAGAGGTTATAACTTGCGGGGTGGGTGTGTTGGAAGACAGGCTTTTGTTCTTACTGCTCAAGCCTGTGCCTAACGTGGTCGAACTCCAGCCCTGCCTCAGTTATTCCAGAGTACCTGTACCCCAGTTTTCTCTTCAGCAGCTCCCTTGAGACTTGCTCTGTATGTTATTGGGAAAGGTATAAGTAACATTCTGAAGTTTGTTGTTTTATAGTGATCATAATTTCATATGCCTGGAAGTCAGGTCATATGCTTTTCCTCCAAACCCCCCATCACCCTCAGCATAAAGCCCATGTTCTTTATCATAGCCCTGTGCTTCTCTCTCCTGCCTCTGCCTTGCTCACCCTCCTATAACCACATCATCCCTGCCATTTCCTCTGCCTGGAATGTTCCTCCCTCAGACCTTCAGAGATTTGCTCTCTCACTGCGCTCAGGTAGCTGTTCAGATGTCAGCTCCTCATAGAGGCCTTCTTCCCCGTTCCTGTCTACCTTTCCATTCCTCTTCTTCAGAGCAGTTATCACTACCTGATATTTGCATTCACCACACCCCCAAAATAAAAGCCCTATGAGGTTCTGGAAACTTCATATATCAACCAGTGTGAGGCAAGCTGGCACTTAACACTGTCCATTTGAGCTCCCCCGCAAAAAACCAAAGCCACATCTCTCATACTAGCTCAGTTTTAATTTTAAAGTGACAAATGTACAGGTGGAATAAAATTTTAAGCAACACCCTCCAAATTCCACTTACATGGCAAGGAGGAGCTGAATGTAATTTTGCTCCATCACCAACTAAACAATAGTTCATTAGCAGTTATTAGTAAGTTACAGCACAGAAACAACACCCTGCAGTTGTGGTCCATTCATAAATTGATTTTCACGTAGGCTTAGTTGGAAGAATTGGTTTTGTCTATCCTGACCAATGGTCAAAGGAGGCACAGATGGGTTCTTTCTATACGTTGAGCAAATCAGGTCCCGCTAGCCAGCAATGTTCTGCAGGAGCCTGGTCCATCCAGCTAGCTCACTCTACCTGCTATGGGTCCGATCTGCCCTTTGACTCCCAGGGGAGGTCCATGGTCTGAGCCCAACTCTCAGGTACCATCTAATGAAGTAAGGGTGGATCTGACAGGTGGCCTCTGCTTTAACCCAGCAGCTTAGAAAATAGCAATTTTTCTTCATGACTTGTAGAAAAGAAATGAGTAGTATGGCTAAAGGTTGAGGTAACCCTAAGTTCAAATTGTCTGCCTGCCAGGAATAAAATAATGACATATCCCTCCAATAATTTACAGTGGTAGTCCATACGAACTGTAGTCCATAGTAGAACTCAGTGCAGTTCCCAACAGAACATCACTTGAGCAGGAAGCCCTCTGTAAAAATATGGCTGTGCAATGAGAGGAACGATTCTTTGGAAGGGAGCTGAATCTGGGAGAATGAGCTGGAAGACACCGCGAAGTCCTATGCCTTTCCAGACCCTCAAATCATTCAGGATCACTGGTCAGAGAAGCTGGCTGTGCCGTGGGGCCAAACCACCAGCATTCTCCGTTGGCCTCTGTTGCACTGAAGCTGCTGGGGCCACGGAAGAGTTTAGTTTTCTTTACAAGTAAGCACTTTGGTGGGAGAGCACTGCAAAAGTTGCCAAGACAAAATCATTAAAAACACAAAGAACAAGTTGCAGGGGTCACAGGCAAACAGTTTTATCGATGTATCATTTAAAACACTCGTTTGTCCTCCCCACAGGACTTGAAGGTTCAGAAAATATCCAAGGGAGATGATGAGATACACTCACACCCCATTCTTACCACTCAAGGGCACAGAACAAGCAGGAACTAAGTTGGCCCTGTGACTCCAGGAGTGCAGCCTGCTCACTGTGAACCAGACGCCTGGAGCCAAGTCCAGTCCACAGATGTGCTTTTATTCTTTAAGAGGATCGTCTAGAATCTAGATTTAGAAATGCCACATTAGCAGCCCTGAGATCATGCCCTCATTAACTCTGCCAGGGGAGGGAGGAGAGAGAAACTGCAGACCTAGAGATGGGCCAGGATGCCCACTTTGTGCCTTGGGGTTTGCTAGGGGGCTGAGTGCTGCTATCTGGGCTGTGCTTTATTGGTGGAACTGAATTATGGCAGAGCCACTAGAAGCACAAAGGGTCAGTGCGATCACTCAAAAGTACATCCTGAAAATGTAAACGAACAGATTCCATATGCAGACTAGAGGTGATTTTACACTTAAAACATTTAAATATAAATTAAGCTATAACTTAAGTTACAACCAAAAGAAAAACAATAGAAAAGCCAAAAAGACACTCAGCAATCAGAATGCTGAACACATACACAGGACACCCCAAACACGAGGCCATTAAAGCGATGCCATTTCATTGTGCCAACTTTACATTCATCATGTGCTAGTCTGGTGGGCCACGCTGCCCCGTGCATGTCATGCTGTCTGGCACTGCACTCCAGCCCGTGGCCCGTCGTCGTCCTCCTCATAGGCCTCCCTGTGCTGGCGCCAGTTCTGCTCACTGGGGTTAAACTCCTTCAGCTCCACCTGATCCATGTCATCTGTAATCCTCACTTTCTGTCGAGGAGGGAGTAAAGCTTCCAGATGAAGAAGCTTGTCTTGAGGAAGCCAGTGTTTTTCAGGAAAGATTACCTGCAAAGGTGAGGCGGAAGAGAAGGGCGGGTATTTTTTCTACTTCCAATTAAGGCATTTAACAATAAGTCCCAAGAGTAAATCACAGGAAACTTACTAAAAACTGTATAATCAGCGTCCCTTTTTCCAGGGGTGCTTTGTAGATCGGCATTCCTTCATTGAGCACACATTTCAGGTCCCCATGCTTTATTACCTCCCCTGCGACAGAAAAGGTTTAGTTATGAAACAGGAAAATGAAGGGAGCCTGGAGAGGTCAGTCTTCCTTTTGGGAGAGCCTGAGGGCAGGTCCTAATCCCCTGTGGCAGCAGGCAAAGCAAGGGGTATCATAGCCTCTGGAAAGCTGGTCCCAGTGGTCGAAATCCGAGTTATCTGTCAGGTACTGACTAGGTGAGGGATTGGAGGTGGGACTCTTTCTGGCCTAGGCTCTGGGCTCCAGCAGTGTGTCAAGGAGGCAGCAGGCTGAAGCCTTCATCAGAAGACTGGTTTAAAAAAAAAGTGAACTAGAAGTCAGAACACCCAGGTCTGCCTGAAATGGGACTAATACCTGTCAGCCTGCCCCAGTGTTTACAAGCATCCCTGCCAGGAGTGGGACAAGAGACCCAAGCAGAGCTTGGAACAGGAAAGGACCTCATAAGGAGGCCAACCAGCATCCCAACTGGCATAAGAACCGGCCTGTGGCCACCTGCAGATGACAGCCAGGTTCCTGAGTAGGGAGCTCACAAGATGGCTCCAGCCACCAGCAGTCTCCTTCACAGTTACAGAGCACTTCCTTGTGCACTGTATGCGGGACTCAGTCTCTACCTTGCACCTGCTGGACCTCACATCTGCATGACTTCAAAAGGCATCACGGCGTTCAGACCCCCCGAGTGCTAAGGCTCTCCCCAACTCTGAAAATGTGATGTCCCTCCCTAGCATGGAAAAGAAAAGGGGCAAAAGAGTCTCTGAGTGTGCCCTTCAGCTCGGTGATGAAAATGTAAAAAGAAGGAAAGAAATGTTTAGAAAAAATGGCGGGGAGGGAGGGAGGAGAGGAAGCTAAACACTATTTTAGAGTAGTGGTATATTCCATATGAAGCAACTATCCAGAAGGTGAGATCTCTCTTCAAGATGAAATCTTTAAGAGTACTTCACACAAGTTTTAAAACATAAAGTGTGACTGTTTTCGGGGGCTGCTCATGCACAGGGCTGTGATTCAGACATGGCCCTCAGAGCCCACTGGCTGTGCAGGATGGTGGCCCCTTAGCTAAACAGCCTCGGGCTGCTCGGCTTTTGTGTTCTTGATTTGGGTTTTTTTGCAACGGTTTTTCTGTCTCCCTGTTCCTGTCAGGTGTCACTTCTTGCCACTCTCAAGCTCAACTCCCCAGGCTTCTGCTTCTAACTTGCTGGACCAGGCATGGAAAACTACAAGAAAAGGAGGACCCAAGGCAGGCTCTTCCTGGAGGCAGATGCTCACAACAGCCTAAAAGGGCTCTGGCGTGGAAGGCATTTCAACAGTGGAAGGGAGAAGAGGAAAGGAAGAAACAAGAAATAAGCCAAAACAAGAAAAGGGGAGGGTGAAAGAAAGAAGTAAGGACACAAAAAAGGATGACTGAGAACAAAAAGTAGGGGGGGAAACCCCCCAAAGTCTCCAGCAGGTGGTTTGCTGCTTACTCTGCCCTTCCTTCTAACTAAGCAAGGAAACAGGTTTCTCAGGCTTTGCCTCTTCCTTCTCCCAGGGCTCCTTCCCCACTCCCTGGGGCTGGGGCAGCGGAGGAGTGTGGGGCTCTGATCCCACTGTGGGACCCGCTCCAAGACCTTGAATCATCCACCCTGGCTAAGAATGAGCTTTCCCAAAGAAATGACATACAGATGCTGCCCAGCCCTGGCTCTCAGAAGTGCTGGAATCTGGGCTGTGACAATGTTAGGTACATGATACTAGGGTGTTGAGCACACACCTACTCACAACCAGTGGCCTAGGACTTTATGTAAACTGATCCTCAAACTTTCCTCCTCAAGTGGGGGAAGGAAATGGGTACCTTGGGAGTTCTATGGAATGGAGCCTAAAGGAAGGTGTTTTAAATTTTCATGCAAATTTTCATCATACTGCAGTGCTTTCCCCAATCCTTGATTAACTACACACGCGCGCGCGCGCACGCGAAACAGCTGAAAAATCAAGTGGGGTAAAATGTTAACAATTGCAAATCATATATGGGTGGGCCTTGTACTGTTTTTATTTTTGCGACTTTTTGTAAGTTTGAAATTGTTTCCAAATGTAAAAAGTTTTTTAAAAAACCCCACAAACTCTGATCAAGGCTTGGGTATATAATTCTATTTCATATTATTCCCAGAAAAGAGGAACCAGCAAGAATCAAAGAAGGAAAGTGACAGAAAGAGAACAAGTCTAGAAAGAGGAAAGCAGGCAAAGAGAGGAAGAGAGAGAAATAGGCCCAGAGGCAAAGTCTAGGAAGCAGGCAGGGGGCGTGGGGTTTGCTTACCCCACTGGACCGCAGTCTTATCAGCAGCTACCACAGTCCTGGGACCAGGCTATCAGCTGGTTACCTCCCACCCCAGCCCTGAACCTGCCCCTCTAGCCTCAAACCTCCAATGCCAATAAAAAAAACGACTCCTGGACCCCAAGGCCGGTGAGGGGACTAGAGCAGTCCTGCTCCTGGCTGGTGCTGGGGCTGGGGTGCCTGGGTAGCTCAGCTGGCAGCACACTGTTCAGAAGTTCTCTTTAGGCACAACTGACCTCCTATGCTATTCAGAAGTGGCTTTCAGTCAAGGTCCCTTGCCTGGCCTCTCTCCCTTCTGCCTTAATCCGTCCAGGGAGGTGCTCTGGTGCCCACACAGACGTCAACTGCAGTGAGCACCAGCTCTCCTGCAAGCTGAGCACCCTGGTGTCTGTGCAGGTGCTTGGGGGCTGAGCTCTGGCCCTCAGGAACCCTTCCACCCATGGCAGCTCCCTCTGGCTTGGTGGGTGTGTGCAGATGGGCAGTTCCCGTGAAAGCCACAAAGTATAAGGTGACAGGTGATGTCTTCCCCCCCCCCCTCCAGGAAAATTCTATCTTAAACTGTCTCTTAGGTGTAATGGACATCACATAGAGAAACATGTAGATGAATCAGCACAGATCACCACTTGATAGAAAAACACCACCTATTATCAACTGTGTTTTATTTTAGAAAAATAAATTTTTAAAAATTTAAGTTTAATTAGCAGATTCCAGCTAGATTTTTAGACCCCTAAGATTTTTTGTTTGTTTAAAGATGACCAGTAGGGGCTGGCCCGGTGGCGCACTCGGTAGAGTGCAGCGCATGGGAGCGCGGCGGCGCTCCCGCTGAGGGTTCGGATCCCATATAGAGACGGGTCCGCTCACTGGTTGAGCGCGGTGCGGGCGCGACACCAAGGGTTGCGATCCCGTTACCGGTCACGAAAAAAGACAAAAAGAAAAAAAAAAAAAAAAAAAAAAAGATGACCAGTAAGGGGATCTTAACCCTTGACTTTGTGTTGTCAGCACCACGCTCAGCCAGTGAGCGAACCGGCCATCCCTATATAGGATCTGAACCAGTGGCCTTGGTGTTATCAGCACCACACTCTCCCGAGTGAGCCATGGGCCGGCCCTTAGACCCCCAAGATTTGACATTCTTTTCCCCAACTCTGAATTTTTTTTTCTAGGAGAATATAAAAGAAATTCACAAAATTCTCCAGAGTTATTAGTGGTGACTTTAAATTTAGAGAAAGACAAGTCAGAATAACCTATATAACAGAAGTCAACCTTCAGTGTGAAAACAGGCTAACCTGGCAGCATTATGATGCCAGCCACACAGAACAACTACAATGGAAATAGGTGTTTGAAATATTACCTGGTTTGGATGTAATAACAAGAATTCGTTCATCCAGTGTTTTTATCGTCTTCTTGAAGCCACAAAGAGCTTCAGAAAGCTGAATTTTCATTTTCATGATCAAGTCATGGCCTCGTCTCTGAAAGACACTATGATCCTTCTGATCAAGCACAATTATGACATCACCAGGCTCCAGCTCAGGCTCCTGATCTCCTTCTCCATGAAACAGTATCTTTTGCCCATCTTTCATACCTAAGAAACATTAGCCCTTTCTGATTAGCTGTTTCTCATAAAAACTGTACTTTCTCAAAGCTTTTGAGAAGGAATGCAGTGTCCTCTTGTGGCTCTTTATTTATCAAAGCCCCAACCTCACGCAGGCAGTGGGTGGGGAGGGGTACCTGGGACTATCATTGAGAAAAGAGGCCCTGCCTCCCTTAACGTAATGTGGGTCTAGGCCAAGCCCGCAGCAGGGAGGTCATAAGGCTGTGTTGGTTTGGGTGTTGACTCTCGTACTTCTGGTGTCATCTCTAATCTAGGCTATATTCGCAGGATTAGAAAGCCACAGCATAATCAGGGAATACTTGGAGAACAGGTGAGACTGAAAAAGGCCTTAAAATGGTGGTGCCAGGCAAGATGAATGGCAGGGAAGGCACTGTGTTTGGGAGAATCTGATGCAGCAGACGGGGAGGTGGAGCAAAGGAACACACAGCTACGAAGACATGCGCAAGCTCTCACAGCCAGTGAGCAATCAAAGCGGCGAGGCAGAACACTCCAAAGATTCCAAAGGAACGGGCTGAGAATGGCAGGAGAGGGCAACTAACCAAAACTGAGGTCAAGTAAGACTGTGAGAGCATTAGAAAACCTAAGAGAGAGGGTGCTTGTGATCTCAAGGAAGAAAACTTCGGCGGGTGACACAAAATGGAAATAGGGCCAGGGAAGGTCAAGAGAAGACCCGGAAATGAAAGAATTCATGGTAGACCCTAATAGCTTTTAAATGTGTTGTGACATATCTCGCTCCCCAGAAACCTAGCTTGTTTGCCCCATGTTTAGTACCCAAGAAGCATTTCCAGCCAGGGTGGAGTGCCAGCTCTGCACAGCCTCACCTTTCTCCACGTGGACCTCGATAATCTTCTTCTCGCGGATGACCTTGGCGCCACTGCAGCTGTCGCAGCGGTCCTTGGGGTTGATGCGCTCACCCTGGCCCTTGCACTCGACACACACGGTCTGGATCTGCTGCACCATGCCCGGCCCAATCTGCTGGATGTGGATCTGCATGCCCCGCCCCTTGCACAGCGGGCACTTCTCCACTGACCCCTTCTTCCCGCCAATGCCTGTTGGGGGTGGGGAGAGGACAGGAATGAGCCCTGTGCTTTTCCCTTACCGGTGTCCCTTTTAGGAGCCACAGCAGAAGTGTAGGGAACCATGAAACTGGATATTGAGATTAGAATTCTATTTACAATCATGAAAAGCAATGTGAAAGAGTCTGGATGAGTCTGGCCAAGTACATAACATCCAGTTGTTAACATCTGATCTCAAACATTTGTGGTTTTGGCTGCGCTAGTCCAAATGTATTACTTGAGCTTCATCAGATACACTTGCTGCCATCCCAGGGTGGAAAACCACCACGGCTGCAGGTGAATGAGGCTGGGGCTGGGGAGAACCACAGAACACAAGTTCTGTCTATGAGGCTGGCACCCAGCTCAGCCAAAGCTCTGTGGGAGAATATAGGTCTGGAGTCACCAGATCTGACTTTTCTGGAAAACTCAGATTTTAAAAAATTATGTCAATTACATTCACATTTAAGTCAAGAGGTCAGAAAACTATGGCCAGACTGCCTAGTTTTTAAAATAAAGCTTTACTGGAACACAGGCATGTCCATTCATTTATGTATTCCGACAGCAGAGTTGAGTAGTTACAACAGACTGCATGGCCCACAAAGCCTAAAATATTTACTATCTGGCCCTTTACAGAGGAAGTTTGCCAACTCCTAGGTTAGATGAACTGTCTTGATTTTCAAATTTTTAAAATAATTGTCAACATATTAAATAAATGTGCAGCCCACATAAACATTCATTCAAGTAAACAGATTTGGCCTAAGGCCACCTATCTGCAATCTCTGCTTGATCTCTGCATTTGAAAAGATAAATTATTTTTCTCTGTGCTATAAAACAAGCAGACTGTTTTCAAATCTAAGGGATAAGACTGAGATTCAATCAAAAATTAATTTACCTTCACATTTCTCACAAATTATATTTTTCTGGAGGGACAATTTCTTCGTGACTCCATTATATAAGTCTTCAAGAGTTACTGACAACTGATGCACAACATTCTTGCCTTGCCAAGGGAAAAAAAAATTGCAATCAGTAATACTGGATTAAATATACTACTGTATTAAATACACTCATATGACCCTTAGTTGTAGAAGTCTCCAGAGGCTCAAAGCTGTGCCTGGGTCATTCAAGTCTTCAAGAGTTACTGACAACTGATGCACAACATTCTTGCCTTGCCAAGGGAAAAAAAATTGCAATCAGTAATACTGGATTAAATATACTACTGTATTAAATATACTCATATGACCCTTAGTTGTAGAAGTCTCCAGAGGCTCAAAGCTGTGCCTGGGTCATTCATTCCCTCCCCGGTGAGAAGCAATGCTTCTGTTACACCAGCCTGTCCTCCTGGCCCTCTGCCAACAGCAACATCTAATACCCTCTCTAGCTATGAGCTATCACATTTATAGAGGTCAACAAAAAGACTTTCCACTTTTATTTTCTGAGAACAAAGCTGAGGACAGGGAGATCACTAAGTAAGACACCTAAGGCTGTGTTATGCAACAAAACTGGCTAAGTTCTCCCCAGAAAAGAGGCCCTTCCCTCACAGATGAATACGTGATAACCAGTCTCTGGACCTGTTGCTGAAACTCTTTCTTGGCATTAAGCTCTTCACTTTCCAAGCCCTTTCATAATTTGTGGCCAAGTGGAATTCTTTCCTCTGTCAAAATCTTGCTTTAACATCAGGACAGTGGGCGTTTGGACCTCAGGGTGGGAGTCTGTTTTCTCCAGCACTATGCCAGCCTGTTGGGACTCAGAATGAACCCTACTGCTGCCCACAGAGCTCTCACACTCACCGAGACAAGGCGTCCTGGTTTAATAGCTGTCAACTTTGAGAGATGACTTAATTAAGAGTGTGACATTTTTCATCTCAAGACAGCGAGAGAGCTGGGCAGGAGACTACCCCAGCTTTTAATCATGTCCACACCATCAATTATGTGAGCAAGTGACATACCCAGAGGACAGGGGAAGGATTTTTCCTTAATAAACACTTCGTGATTTTCAGCACACTGTGTTCACCAAATTGACACCCAAGCTTTTTAAAACACAAAGTCAATTATAATGTGAGAACAAGTACAGCTTCATTTATCCAGGGGCCTCTCATTGACCAAAACCACACTTCTTAAACCCCAACACAGAGCTTATTTCTTCTCACTTTATCCAGAATTGTAATAAGCTTGGTTATCTATCTGGTTGCAAGATCCAAAGCAGATTGATTGTCAACAGTAAACTAGCCGGTGGAAGGCAGGGGCTGGGCTGTAAGAGACGACCAGTAACAGAGGTGGCAGCCCAGAGCCTGGCAAGAGGTAAAATGTAAAAGAATTAGAAGAGCAAATCCCAGAACTCACAAACAGCGGCCTGGGGCCAGTCAGCTAAGAGCTAAGAACCTCATTCACCTCCTGGGGTGCTAATCATGTGCATTCTGAAAAGAAAGGCAGGTAGTTTATTTTACAAAGATTTTAAAACATAAAGAGGTAAATTTTGTTACCTAGAAAATCCCCTGAGCAGGCTGGGAAAATGAGGCCCACTGAACATGGCAGAGGACCTACTGGAATTAGAGCGGCCACAGGCCCTGGCCCAGTGCAGGACAAATGCCATGGAAGGGAGGGCAGGCAGGAGGGAGAAAAGCACTCTCGGTAGAGGCCCCACTAACAACTGCAGGAGGTGCTGTTTATGTCCTGCAGGACACTCAGGTGCCTGACCCCAACAGGTGAGGAAGGACAAGATGAACGATTTAAAGTTGATGATCCCCAAACACGACCATCGTACCCTTTTAAAGCATGATCCATCCTGATTCCAACAACAGGTACAATTCTGGAAACTATTGAACTTGCTTATATCTCTTTAAAAGCACTCACCTCTTCTCTCTCTAGTCATCCGTCCTCCACCACCAAAGAACATGTCAAAGATGTCCATGGGTGAAGAGAAGCCGGGACCACCTGAACCTCCTTCTTTAATCGCCTGTTCTCCACCCTGGTCATAAATGTCCCTTTTCTTTGGATCTGAAAGCACTTCATATGCCTGGGATATGAGTTTAAACTTTAAAAGAAAAAAAAAGAAGAGAGAGAGATTTTAAAAAGAGAAAGAGAGAAGAGGCTGGAGATGTTTTATTAAGCAAACCCACCATATGAATGTAAAACAATAACAGAGAATTCTGCGCCCAACCCCTTAAACTAGCCAGTCCATACGTTCTCTATCTGGAACCTGACTTTTCCATTTACTCCCTTTGTAAAGTGGGGAACACAGGGGAAAGATTATTAAGAGACTGGTGGCAGGGACTCTGGGAGAACAAGGGAGAGAAAGTAGTACGGAGGGAAAGTTTCTCCCTCCTGGCTGCACCAGACAGGAAGAAGTTGAGCCCAGCTGGGATCCAGTGGGCCTGTGCCAGGGCTTAATCTATAACCAGATAAAGTCCAGCACTCCAGGTGCTACTACTGGCCCTCCAGCTGATGGGAATCACTTCACTAGTTCACTAGCAGGAAATTCAACTACAGGCATCTGTGAGCACCTAACAATGTGCGTGCCAGATGTTATGTGCAAATCTGTACTCCTGATCTTCCCCCCTCGTCCTGTGCCTCTCAAGTCTTCCTCATATCTCAGTTATCGGCAACACCAAGCTCACCTGTCAACAAATCCTGTTGGTGCTGCCTTCAAATTTGTATCTCCTATAAGTACCCTGAGACAGACACAATACCCCATGTATAGCATTCATGCCAAAAGGATATCACTGGAATCCAATTGTAAGAAAAGAATCAGAAAACATGAGGGACATTCTGCAGAACTAAAAATACAGGAAAACTAAATGCAATGTGTGATCCTGGATTGGACCCTGCACTGTGGAAAGAGATAGCTACAAAGGACATTACCGAAACAATTGGAGAAATGTAAACTTCTTGAATTTGATAACTGTACTACAGTTATATACAAGGATGTCCTTGTTCCTAGGAGAAACATGTGGAAGTAATTAGGGCTGAACAGTTATGACACATGCAACTTACACTCAAAAGCGTCAGCATGGATGATAATAAAGATAAAGCAAGTGTAGCAAGTTATTTACAATTGGTGAAGCTAGGTGAAGGATATGCAGGTGTTCACTGTAGCAATCATCAGAACACTGAAATATACAAAATCCACTCTTTCTCAACAACACCACCACCCGCCGGCAAGGCCACAGTCTCTTGCCTGGACCACTGCAATTAACTTCCTTGCTGGTCTCCCCTCTTCCCCCCTCACCCCAGCTTTCAGTCTGTTCTCCCCGAGCCTGTTAACTGTGTGCATCCTCTGCCCACACCCCTCCAAGGTGGCCATGTCACTGGGAGTAAAAGCCAGTCCTTACCCTTATCTATACATTCAACCTGACACCACTCTGCCTTCATCTCCTCCTGCACTCCTACCACAACCCCAATTCTGCTTCAGCTTCACCAGCCTCCTTGCTGTTCCTCAACACAGCAGCACATGCCTCAGTGGCATCTTGACCTAGTATGATCTCCCCATTCAACCTTCGTCAAGGTTTTGCTCAAAGGCTCCCTTCTCAGGGAGGCCTCCCAATGACTCAGCTTAAAAACCTACATCCAGCACCTACATCCCCCCTTCCCAGCTTCATTTTTCTCCGTAGTGTTAACTGCTTTCTGAAGTGACATATTACCTATTGCTTATACCATATCCCCCCTGCAACATAAGCCCCAGGAGGACAGAGTTCTCAGCTATGCCCACTGCAGTAACCCTGTGCCTAGATTATGTCTGGCATGTAGAAGTCACTTGGTAAATATCCATTAAATGAATGGCTCTGTGAATTCAGAAATTAATAAATGAGATAGGGTCTTGGCTCTCCACAGGCTACAGTTTAGTTTGAAAGATGTATAGGTAAACATCCTATAATGCAGCTGGCTCCATAAAATATAGAATGGGGGAAAAAGTGCCACAAAGACACAAATAAGGAAATTGACAGATACTAGGTATTCCCTGTTCTACAGATCCCTGATAGAGACCTAACAGATAACTAGTAAATAATAGTTAATAAATAATTGTTAACTAAAAACTGGACAATTAAAGTCTTAAAAAGACATCAGCATCATACAAAAGGCAGCTAGATCTTTTGAAATGTTAATTCTCATACCACCTCTGCAAAGAAGTAGGTATCATTCACTACTACCCCTTTCTTCAGGAGCAAAACTGTAGGGATTAGGTGCCTGGTATGCAAGATCACAAAGCAACGAGGCCAGGCTGCCCCGCAAGAGCTTCTGGGCCGACCTGTAGTTCAGGGACTAGGTAAATATTCATCATGGGAATGGCCACTAGAAACACTCACCAAACACTCTGGATACTTGCAAGACACTTAGACTTCACAGGATTAATCTAAGAATGGAAAAGGAATGCCCTGTCACTTGGGGCATTCAATTAGAGGGCAGATCTCATGTGGGGTGGGGGCTCCTACTACCAGTAGTAGGCACCAGCACTTCAGAGGCTAATTCAGCTCCCTGCCTGGACCCCTTTCTCCCAGTTGAAGATTAGTGCTGACCAGCTCACCTTTCAGACTGTGATTGTTTGACATAGAATCTTAATGGGATTACTATACAACTGGGGGAAAAAACGTCTTTAAAGACTATGCAGTAAGTTGGAAAAGTACTTATGATAAAATATTAAAAACTTGGAAAGGCGCACAGTGGTTAGGGTAATGTGTACTTGGTGGGTTTTCCTCTGTATTCTGAAAGTTTCTGCACTGTTATGCTGTCCTGTATAATTTTTTTTCACTTGAAAATCTATTATTCAAATTAAAAGTTACAGTGAAATTGACCAAAAGACCAAACTCATCTCAAGAGGGTAACAGTCAAGAATATACCCCCATCATTGCCCCTGAAAAGGACTATCTTGCTAACCTGCTACCATCTGTGTGTCTTGCAGAAAACCAGCCACAGGCGAGATAACCACAGACTGCATACAGAACACCTGACTACAAACACAGGCTACCCCAGTGCTTAGCAACACAGGACAACAGGGCTAAAAACAAAGAGCAACACACCAATAGCCTTCTCAGTTGTCCCAGAGCAAGGGGGGAAAGGACTGGCTTAATCTATTTTTGAAGAGACATTAATAATACAGTGACAAACTCTGGAGAAAAAAAATTAAAAGGTTTCATCTGAGACAGATAAAGTGAACAAGAACTACACACAGACTCGTGTGAAAAGGCCTGCACAAATGTGCCCAGCACACAGCAGGGCCAGAAGAGGAGGTACTTGGTGAATGAATGAATGAATGAATGAGCCCTCTCTCGGGAACTTTATAGTAGAGTTCCTATAAATTGTGTCCCCAGTCTCATCATCCCCTTTGATTTTCAACCCAAATTTCCACTGACCTCCCAACCCCCCCTCTGAAATTTCCCTTCCAGTCTGTGCCTTTATAAAGCTCTTTTCTCCTCCCACATAGAATTTTTTAAAATGCATTTCTTCTTATGACATTGCTATTCGTTCACTTAGCCAGCCAACAAACATTTTTGCACCTACACTGCACAGCTAGACACACGGCTGGTAACTGGACATGGGGGCATTGTCCCTGCCCTGTTCACATTATGGCAGGGACTACAGGAATCAAACACGCCATCACCATTACAACAGGATGAGCACTGGGCCAGTGATTCAGTCTACAGGGCAGAGGCCGCCTCCTGGAAGATGTTTTAACTGAGAACTAAGCTAAAGGGGTTTATCCCTTTCATGGAAGGGAGGGAGGAGTAAGTATTCCAGGCAGTGGGAACATCATAGAAGTGACCCCCCAAGCTGAAAACCTTATTTATGTGACACTAATTCAGTGCCTGGCTATAAGTATTAGTTTAAAACAAACCAAATAACCTGCATAGAGAGGTATTTGCAGAGGAAACCCACACAAAGGTAGTACAGGTCAAGTCCAGTTAACAAAAAGTTCCAGAACACCAAAAGCACACTCATCTCAAACTGTATACACATAGCCATGAACTTACTCTTGGTGAGTGGTAGAATATTTGACCTGAACCCAGGGTCAGAAGGCTTTCTCACACATTGCCATCAGCCAGGCTGCTTAAATGTGAAATTAGAAGCCCAGACACTCTCCTTAAAGGAGATTGTCAGAAACAGACTACAATGAATTTAGGGACTGTGTCTATGAACCTTTCTCACACATTGCCATCAGCCAGGCTGCTTAAATGTGAAATTAGAAGCCCAGACACTCTTCTTAAAGGAGATTGTCAGAAACAGACTACAATGAATTTAGGGACTGTGTCTATGAACCACCAACACCACAGAAAGCCAGTGACTTTAAAAGCTACAGTAAGCCACCTAAATATAGATGAGAAAGAGCTCAAGTGGTAATAGACAAATGGTCTTACAGGAAAGCATTTTAAACTTGTGACAGCCACACTCAGCACATGTGGCTAAATATAAATATTCTATCACTGGCGCCACCCAGCCAACCTTCCTTAAGAAGCTTTCTCCAGCTGGGAATAACTAACTCAGGCAGGTATCTTGAACGGAGCATCATTTCCACAGGTAAATGCTAGGCGGGTGGTCGGTGGCTTCGAAAGTGGCCTGGGTGTCATTGTTATCAGCTACTACAATGGCCCCACCTCTTAAGACCCGTCTGGGACATCCAAAGTTTTATAAGAAAATGGCAGGAAGTGAAGGGAGGCATAGGAAGGCCAACCACGCTTCAAGTCACCTATTCAGGTGGGTCATGACAAAACGCAGATTGTCTATATTTCTGTAAGGGGATGAAAAAATTTAATTTAGGTCTCTATTATGCAGAGCATATTCAGTCTATTATTGGTACTTATGATCAACCATAGGCCATTTGACACATAAAACCTGGACTATGCATACAAGCTGATGTTAGATTACGAATGTGTGTGTCCCTGTTTAATAAAGTGTAATTATTCAATGTCTGACAACTGTATCAAGCAGCAGGGTAGACAAACAGACCAAATGCAGTCAGTCATTTTCCAGAAAGACACTAGGTTTGTCCAAGGATTAAAGAAACTCATCCCTAGAGCTGATACATCAACAGGGGATATG